GATAGCTAGTTGGGAAGTGAGTGAAATTTGAGTTTCNNGACAAGAAAGTGAGTTCATAAAAACGTGGTAAAATACTGCATAGGGTTTTATGCAAACTTTAATTTGTTCTTGCGCTGAGAGTTAATCACATAACGTTAATTCACCCATTGAACTCAATATGTTGATTATTTGAAAATCCTAAATGAAAACAGTCAAGAATTTTCCAAGCTCAGAGAGAGAGAGAGAAAACGATGGTTGCGAGGCTGTCGAAAGACAAGAAAAATCAGTTGTTTTTGTCGCGGTGACAATCAGGAATTTGTATGTACATGTATTTGTAATTTTCTTCAAATATTCACATGAACCATTTTGGTAGGCAGACAAATTGCTGCCAATTTTGGTGGAAATACATGGTGGTGGTTACATTGGAGGCAGTGGGAACTTGGTTGCGGATGCTTTGATCCGCCATGGAGAATTGGTGTACGTCACAATGAATTACAGATTAGGAGCATTTGGTAAGAAGGAATAACCCATTTTTCTTCTTATTTTATTCAAAATTAAAGACTCAGAGGTTCGTCCATTAATTTATACTCGACCAATAGCAATTTTGAGAAAGCAAACGCAGCGAGTGGCACAAGAAAGTCTAGCACTTGACGAGGAAAACTTAGGACTAAAATGTTTCTGGAAATATATCCGTCAACAAAAATTGAAAATCTCACATTCCAGAGGTTTTATTCGAAGTAAAATACTCAGTCTAAGAGAATAAATTTATCGAAAATAGGATTCAGTTCCGTCTTTGGACTTTTCGCGCTTCCTTCAATTTTCGTGTGCTGACTTTTTTTTTGTGTTGAAGAATTCACACGCATCTATATATCACTTGACTTCTGTATGACTGAAAAACCTAATTTGAAATTTTTTTAACAGAATCATGGTGGGTCTTGTTTTAATTATCGTCCTATATTTTTCATGGGAATCATGGCTCATTAAGGAACAATTCATAATGGGCCGTGTTTTTTATACTCGAATATCTCTCGTATTTATTTGATTGAATCTGATATTCACGCGGGAAGTGCTTCATTCCTTCTAATGAATCCAAACTTTAAAATTTATTATTATTTATTAAAGGCACGCAAATCACAACCGTGAAGCAATTGTTTCTTGCAGCTTGAACTTGAACCTCACTGAAGCATATAAATACTGTACAGTGTATTAAGAAAAAGAAGGGAATTATTCCGAATAAATTGAAAGGATCGCGTCATTTCTAGACAAAATTGTTGCAATTTTTGAGTCACAAAATAAATACGTGTGAAGTGAAGCACGATTATCACATGATTCCAAATAAATTCAGATTTTTGTGTCCTGAAAAATCCCTATTTTTTAATTGTCAAGTCACAAAATAAATTCAAGTGTGCCTCCTAATCTCCGTAGCTTTCAAAAACGTTGAATGAAGAACTGAAGCACGATCATCACATGATTCCAAATTAATTCAAATAATTGTGTCGCTGAAAATATGTTTTGTTTTCAATTTTCGAGAGTCCCAAAATCAATGCAGGTTTGTCTCCTGTAATCTTAGTATACAGTAGTGACAAACACGGTTGATCGGTGAACAGAAGAAGCACGAATATGCTATGGTTCCAAATAAATAATGTAACCCGAAAACAATTTTTAATTTCGCGTCACAAAAAAAATTTCGTCCACACACACAGGGAAAATTATAGGCACACATAGTTACCCCTTTGTAGGTCCATTAAAGCCGTGTTTCACGTACAATAGGAAGTTAGGGATATATAAGGAAGAAAAAAACACACACAAGGTAAGGCCGTATGCGAAAAAGGGTTCCTGTCCACCGGCGACCCGTCAGCCCCGGGCAACTACGGACTCATGGACCAGATAGCGGCTCTGACGTGGGTCCAGGCCTACGCTCATTACTTTGGCGGGGACGCGAGTCGCGTCACTCTGGAGGGCGGGAGTGCGGGTGCAGCCAGCGTGCATCAGCTCATCTTGTCGCCGCTGGCCCGAGGCAAGTCCGGAACGAAATCCCACTCTAGATTATTAATCCCCCCCCCCCCCCCAATGAGAAAACAACTGAGACACGTGAAATCCTTTCCGGATTTCTTGGGTTGTACAGTACAGTGCAGTACTGTGCTGTGCTGTAAAACAACGGGGGAACGTCGGAGTTGGCGAGCATTTTTTTTTTTATATTTTTTTGGGAAAGGCGGTGTTGCCTTGCTGTATTTTACAAAAATACTTGTTTTTAACTCTTTTGCGGCGGCGCTGGGATATTTTTGCATGAATTTTCCACTACAGACGTTAATTTTTAAATCTAAAAAGTACCAGTGGTACTGTAAAATTTGACCACCTTGCAATTAGTCCATGCCGCAATTGAATAATGGTCAATTAATAACTTCCCTCCAACTGAGCGTTAAACTGGAGACGGGGTGTTAGAACGGGTACATATCTCTAAGTTTTACAGTTTATACTACATCTTTTGGATTGTAAACTACAACAGAACTTTAAAATGGAAAAAAAATACCTGTGGTACTTCAAAATTTGACCACCTTGAAATTTGTCCATCCCGCAATTGACTGATAATCAAATTTGAAGGAAGGTTGACTTGCAATTTGCCCTCTGCCCCACAATGTGGCCCACGTAGAGATGCAAAATGTTAAATATTCTGTAGAAAACATAGCATCTGATGTTGTCTTGAAATTTTACCTATCCACAATGTGCGGAATTTTTTCTGAGAACAGAGGAAGTTCAGAAATTACGAGTCTTTGTTAATTGGCGCGTCCCGGGACGCGCCTGTAGCAGCAAATTATCCCTTCAACAGGGCTGTAAAACAAAAGTGTCACAGCCCTACAAAAATTGCCGATAATAAATACAAACCCATCTTTGGGGCCAACGACTTGCCCGAGCACCAAATAACCCCCATCCCAACCATTTGTCGAGAAGATCAAGTGTCTTGAAAGTGAGACCAGACTTCACCAGCTGCTGGTCGAAATTATTGAAGGGAGGTTGACTCGCAATTTGACCTCTGCCCCACAATCTTGCCCATGTATAGAGATTCAAAATGTCAAATATGATGTAGAAAACCTAACATTTGATGTTGTCTTGAAATTTTACCTTGAAAAATACCTGTGGTACTTCAAAATTTGACCACCTTGAAATTTGTCCATCCCGCAATTGACTGATAATCAAATTTGAAGGAAGGTTGACTTGCAATTTGACCTCTGCCCCACAATCTGGCCCACGTAGAGATGCAAGATGTTAAATATTCTGTAGAAAACATAGCATCTGATGTTGTCTTGAAATTTTACCTATCCACAATTTGACCTGAAAAATACCAGTGGTTCTTTTCAATTTTACCACCTTGCAATTTGTCCATCCTGCAATTGAATAATAAACAAATTTTAAGGAAGAATACCTTGCAATTTTACCTCTGCCCCACCAATTTGATGTAGGAAACATAGCATTTGATGTTGCCTCAAAGTTTGACCTCTTCACAATTTGACCCTATAGTACAACAATGGATTAGGGTCGAATTTTGGGGCACCACCTGTATTGCACTGGAAAATTCAGCATAAGTTGGGAAATATCCATATTTTTGATTGTTTTTTTTTAATCTCTTGAAATCAAAGAACTCTTAATCAATATTTGTTGGAACAAGAGTATATTGTATTTCAAGTGCATCTATGGTACAGTGTCAAGAGGAATTTTACAATGCATGAATACAGTGGGTCAAAGAAAAACAGCAACTCTTTTTTTCTAATGAAAAAAAGAGTTGCTGTTCAACTCTCAGCAAGTCATTTTCATTGAGGTGGAAAAAAAAACATGGAAGATCACATGAGCTGGAAATTCTTGGTAAAAGTACACCTATAATTTCTGCAAATTCAGACGTGTTTTTGCCCTTCTGAAATATTCGAATGTCAGTGAAAAGAATGTTATTGCATCCACTTCCAACTTATGAAAAGCATACGAACATTTTCCTATTTTGCTAATTCAAGCAAGTGAGAAGATATTTTCTATGCTAATATTCTGCCTACAGGAGATGCTTGCAAATTTGCAGGCAGAATTATAACAAGAGGGCAAAAGGGTCCACTACCTTTCTCTCAAATCAAAAAAATTGTTGCAGTAATTTATTCATGCAAAATCCGTGAATCACGGGATTTCATCAAACTCTGCTGCTTGACTTTATATAACTTTATTCATGACAGCTAGATCCAGTTTCAGACAAATTCCCGCGCCCATGACAAGCCGGGACTCATTACGAAGATTAATCACTGCCCTCACATCTCGGGACGAGTTTAAAGGCCCCCGATTCCCACAAAGGTTGTCAAGGATCCAGATAAATGGGGTTGCTTCGCATTCCAGACGTTGAATCCTTAATGAGTTCCCGAGATAAATTATTCCTATCGTGACGAAGCCTCTTTCGAGTACCCCGCTTCTATAAAGCAGAATTCATTAGAAATTGTGTTTCCGTAAATTTTAAAATTTCGGGATTTTAATTTGCTACTTCGTGATGGGAGTATACATCATTAAATCGGGACAGAGAAAATATTGGGCATTCTATAGTTTAGACCGAATTTTTCCTGTTCGTCCGGTTTATTTTATTCGACAGTGCAGAATATTTTTCTAAATATGATCGGGACGGAAATTCAGAAAAGTTGATATATTCCTCACTTATCTTGAATTTATGCGAGAAACGAGCAGAAAATTGGGAACCTAAAAAGATTAGCGCTTTTGAAAGGCACGCGCAATTAATTCCTTTGATCTGTCTATTTACAAACTGTTTGGAAGAAAAAATAGTACCGTACACCATCCCGAGAACAAGACGATATATTTCATGCAAATGTCTTCAAGTGCTTTCACTTGATGTTTTAAATTTAAACCATATCGTTGCTGTTGAATTGCAGGTCTTGGAATTAAATTTGAATGAAACTGTGCCTCTTCAAAGAAATATTCGAACAGTTTTTCACGCCAAAAAAAAAACATTAACCTCTTGCTAAAATTATTCAAAATACGCCTTTCTTAAAACTCCATTTCGTCCGAATCAAATACGTCTCGAAGAATACCTCGAGGTGATTTCCAAAACGAGACAAGAAAAAAAAAAGGAAACGTCTCTCATCATCGTCTCGCCGTTTCAGAAAATTATAATCTGAAAATTACGCGAGTGTTTCATTTATATAAGACGCGATCACGTAAGGGGCACGCATATGTTCTCATCGCCGTCAAGACGACAGTGTATGCGTCACGAAATCCGGCTTTTCCTTCGTTACGAAACTCCGAAATCTCCCGTGGAACGTGTTCCGAAGATTGAAATCAATTTTTCATCCCGGTAATTGCTGTCGCAGCAGCGGCTCCGGAGCAGCTGGGATGTCAGGGCCTCATCCTGGCTGACGCGACCGTGCGGAAGGAGTGGGATTTATCTCATGGACCCCCCTTTTTCATAACTTAACACTTCCTTCCGGTGTGGTGTGGGGGCGAAAGAGAAAAGCTGGACATTTTCAAGGTTCTGAAGAGAGGAAAGTTTGACGCGGGATAGTGATATCATTGTTCTCAAGGCAGCTTTCAGGTCCGCAAAATTTTGGTGGATTTTTTTTCTAGGTCATATTACAGTGACATACTTGGAAAATTATCCCCCTGAAATATCTTAGATTTTTTTAAACTGATGCATCACGTAATTTTAAAAGAGCGTCTTCCTTTTTCGAAAGATGATATCGAAAATCAATTTTAATGAAACACTTGAAAGAAATCGAAAAGTTTCTGAAGACATACCAGGTATTTCTTGGAATGGCGGAAGAATACTTGGAAAAGTATCCCCTTGATATATCTTAATTTTTAAAAACTGATGCATCACGTAATTTTAAAAGAGCGTCTTCCTTTTTCGAAAGATGATATCGAAAATCAATTTTAATGTAACACTTGAAAGAAATCGAAAAGTTTCTGAAGACATACCAGGTATATTACTTGGAATGGTGGAAGAAAAATCATTAGTGGTTACAGTATCTAATGAAAAATTAGCAGTCAAAGTCTTCGAAAACACGAAAAAGTATGTGAATGTCTGAACTTTTTTTTAAACTTCTTGTGAAAAATGTCGGAACCAAAATATTTCCTGGAGGCACAACACATTTCTGGATTAGTTCCTCCGTTTTTCAACCCCCAGACTTGAGAAATATGTGTCTCACGGAATTTCCGGGTTAGTGAATGATCTTCTCAAATTGTGACATAAGATCAGAGAAACTGCTCGTAAAAATGGATAATATTCTGCAACACAATTGTGCAGAGTGGATGCCATATCTTTGAGGTTCTGAATAATTCTTTTCTCCTTTAAATTTTAACACACGTTTGACTCATGCAGCTAAACGCCAATAAGTCATCTTTATTGAACGCAATTCAGGCCATGACGAATATAATCATGAGTACCTAATTTACTTGAGTACCAATTTCATATTTTTTATATTAATTTCTGTGCTCGTAATATTCAAATTGTAGGAAATATTTTCCAAAAATTGTCATAACGCTGTTGCGATGAACATTGTGAAGAATAACAGAAAAATTCAATTGTTTCCCATTCCGCTTCGTTTCAATTTCCAAACTTTTATCGAAATTGCGAAATTCAGTTAATTTATCGCCAACTGATGAGTAGCATGAATTATGCAGAGAAACGCTTTACCAAAAACTTCCTGTGCAAAATCATGGTGCATATCCAACTTTAAGGTGCGTGGAACATCAGTGAATATGGTAATTTTGAATTGCACAGTATTTTAATGACAAAAGGAATATATATAGGAAGTGGCCACGGATACTGTACTCCCGATGATTCAAACTCGGAATCACTATATTCAAAAATAAAATCAGAATTTTATTCAGCTCTTCATGTTCAGAATGAGGAAACCATCATCTTCAGGAAAAGGGCAGAAAAGGTCTCAGCAGCAAAAAGGTCATCAATAGTACAATTTACACGAGGTTTTTCACTGAACTTCAGACAATGGAATGAAAATGTCGCTCAGCAACTTTTAGCTCTTGACACAGAACGTTTTCGTCTCTTCGGAGCATACGATTTTTCATAAGTCGCAGTCGCCTTCCAAAGGTGATCAATGATTTCAGAAACCACGTGTTCGCAAAAAATGTTTTTTACCGCCTGTTCAACATCCCTGACAAGCATCGTGACTCTCCCGTCATTGCAAAGAGGTCTTTTAGCACCTTGTCCCAGCCTTTCCGTGATGTAAGTGCCGAGTGCGTCTAGTACAGCCAGTGAAGTGGTCGGCACTTCAGTGGTGGGCAACAAAGTTGAAGCCATTTTTTGCATTATGTCTTCGCCAAATGCAGTGACGCGACGTCGACGATACATTTGACGACACGGGAAACTGGGTGCAGATCGGGCACGTCGTCGGGTGCGACGTTTGGCCGGGGATGTGCGACACCGAGTCGACGGTGGTGTCGACATTGGGCGACACGTCGATGACGCGTCATTTAGAAGGTTTTTGGTTTTCTTGGGATTTTGTGTGGAGAAGTCGGAAGAAAATGGTTGAAGACTCAAGATTTCCATTATGAGAAAATTTGTGGGGTAATTGATAAATCGGCAGAGGACAGTTCAAATTTTCAGATAAGTATTACAACTACCTGCTTGATGGTCAGGTTTTCTTTGAACTTTCAACATGCTCTGCGAGAATCTCCATTATAATGCCTCAATAAGTTGAACCTCTCAAAGTTGAATATATCCATAAGTCATATTTTTTGTCAGGTCACCATCTGAATTTCCTTACAAAAAATGCATTAAATGCCTTCCTGACTTGAAGTCTTCACGTCTCAAACCTGTGTAAATGGAATTTTCTGAAGACTTGTTTCTATTATTTTCTTCACAAATCAACAGGAAAAGTAATAAAACAAGTAACTTGACGCATCTTTTACGGAAGTGAAAGACTAATGAAGCACACCTACAAGTTTAGAATGGTATAACCTCATGTGAAAAGCAAGATAAGGTCCAAAAGATCCCCATTTACATTCCTGCAATTTTTAAGTTTCCTGCAACAATAATGCTCGTTTCCCTAACTCAAAACAAGTCGAATTTGTTTGTTCTGTTACCTTGAAATTCCAGTTAGATAGGTTTGACTGCTTATGCCTTCGAACAAGTTGTAGATTTTCAATTTTTAATATGAGTATCTTCAAGGAGAACACTAAAGAATTAATTTTCACGCTGTCATAGAAAACCAAAATTCATTTATGCATCAGAAATTGTGTATGTATCAACTGTGGGAAGCTGACGGAAATAAATATTCGAAAATGAGTAACGTAACTTACGACATGCAGATTAAAAGGCCCGCATTTCACGATTGATTGAGTTACAAAATTTTCAATTTGAAGCCAAGAATTTTGAATTATATTCCGAGTAACTGCATAAGTATCCGCCACAAAAATTGAGCTATGAAATAATTACACTTCTGATTAATCACTGTGAAAAAAATATTTGTTGAGGGTCTCCAAAAATGATTAAGGTCTCTGTAACTTTCAAAGCGGTTAATCAGATCTCAAAATGAAAACTGTGGTTCAGAAATAAAGGCTAGGCAAAATTACACAAAAATGACAGATTTGGTTTCCAGAAATTACGCTTATTTTGAATACTTTTGGGCATCAATCTATATTTTGAGCTAAAAATTTCGGCACGAACTCACATTTATTGATTTTTCTGGAACAAGGGACTGAAATTTTAGCGGGGATCATCAGAGGAGATCAGGCTGTATCATTACAGTATTCTCAGTGGTCTGGCTTCATCATTATATTCATGTTTCAAATTATTTATTGAATAAAACCTCAATGCCGGGATTCCTTTTGGGGACAAAATTTCACCACTTGAATTGATGGAATAACTTTGCAGCTGACTTTCAAGAAGCAAAAAGTCCCAATTTTATTCAAGTCCGAAATTACAAAGATTTTCAACAGCTCTGTAGAAATACCGGACGACATTCGCCAGTTCCTTTTGCGGGAAGACAGTTTTCACAGAGCCGTGTATGTCACTGAGCGTAATGGTGCATTTTCGCCGAGCAACCACCGAATCTTTGGCCCCTTCCCCAATCCTTTCCAACACATCCGTGCCGAGTGCGTCCAACAGTGCCAAAGTTTCCGCGGGGAATTCGAATCCCGAGTAGGTTTTCCGAACGAATCTTCGGATTGCCTCTGGCCCGAACCTCGTCAAATGATTTTCCGAATATATCAATTTTGTTGACGGGGTTGACAAGGAATCGACGTCGTGAATAACCGCGTTGTCGTGATTCTGGCTTCTGCGGACTTTTCTTCGACGTGCTGATGGTCGCTGTTGAAGCGGGGTTCCAAGGGGGTCGTAAGCAGTTTCCGAAGATGCAGAAGAAATGGCAACTGCTGGATGGCTTTCATTCATGACATTCATAACTGAAGTCTTATATACCATGAAGCGAAATTTGAGATAGAGAAAGGAAATTGAAATGCAATAGGTCAAAGGGATTAAAGATTTGCGAGGAAAAAACTTCGAAGGCAAAACGGCAGGTAATTTATCCTTAGTGTTGAACCCATGTCATGAATGCTTTGGAATTTAAACCCAAGAAAGGTCTACGTTTATAATTCCTGCAGATAAAGCATTGATTGTATTTTCCATACTAAATTATTAATGGTGAAAGTCAAATTTGCACATTGCAATCAATTCTTGTGACCTGGTTACCTGGATGAGTATTTTATCAGACGTAAACTCTTCATATCATATCACACTGCATGATTAATATATGCTACTCATACTTTTTTCCCATAATAGAAATCATGGAGGTTTTCTAATTTTGTGAAACATGTGATGTAGAATTTTCTCTTGATTATGGCACTGTACCATCCTTTTCAAAACAAAACTTTCCAATACAGTGGTTTTACGAATTCTGCAAGACCATCTTCGGCAGCTGGGCATAAATGTTCTATCGAGTGATGATCGGAGCACTTATAATTTTCAAAGTTACGATTTGTATGCATTTTTATTTTGAGCGACTACTAAAAAATCATTAAAAAGCATGAAAACAGCGTTTTGTGACTGAAAACCGTACTTCGAGAAAAAGAAACATTCCGTACTTCATGTGAAATAGAGGAACGCTGCATTGTTTTTTTTTTATCAAGGTGGAATTGTTGTCTCTCAATAACATTCTGAAAAAGTAGAACAAAAAATAAAATAAAAATAAGAAAGAACAGCCACCGCAAACATGATATAATTAATTAAAATATAATGTTCTTCTGGGTAACCGGCTGCAAATATTTCTGGCAGCGCAAAAACCGGACATTATCCTCTGCAAATAACGATCCCGCCAAAATAACTGTAATGGTATGTTAAGAATACCCTATACAGTATATATAACTTGAGAATCGAAAATACTGTAGTTTTGACCATT